TATCTATCTATCTATCTATCTATCTATCTATCTATCTATCTATCTATCTATCTATCACTGTCCATTTTGAATACTTAGTGGAAAGAAAAAAGAAGAGTTCACAAGGTTGATCCTATATGGAACAAAAAACTGTGACTGAACCTAGATGTTCTGCTTTGGATACCACGAATACCATATGTTCAATTGGTAGAGTAGCAGTGTTTATTCTCTTGGTAACCAAAAGCGGACACCAGCCCAGGTATCTTTTAAAGTTACAAGTAGGATAGGGGGTCTCCAAACCTAGCAACATTAAGACTTGTGGACTTCAGTTCCCAGATTGGCTCAGCTAGTCATGGTAGCTGAACAATTCTGGGAGTTAAAAATCCATAAGTCTTAAAATTGTCGGGTTTGGAGACCCATAAACTAGGAGATCTGGCTTTATTATTGATTTCCCTTGTTTTCTTTCTCTGCTCTTCCATGCAGAAGTTGGGCACACCCAAGGACCCCTGGATGGAAGCCTATATGCCAAGGTGAAAAAGAAAGACTCCCTTCACGGCAGCACTGGCACTGTCAACCCCAACCGGCTTGCCCTCTCTGCTGCCCCCAACCACATTGAGCACACGCTGTCGGTCAGCAGTGATTCAGGGAACTCAACTGCTTCCACCAAGACAGATAAGACCGATGAGCAGGCAGCACCTTCGGTTCCCAGCAGCAGTGGAGGAAACAACCCTATTTTGACCCCCGAAGAAAAGCGGGAGCTTGAGAGCTTGCTCAGTGGATTTGGTTTGGAAAACGAAGCCACCATGCACAACCACAGCCCCAGTGAGATTACAGCAGCTGTTTCTGCTTCACCGGGCCGCCATATCATACCAGCTCAGATTCATGTCAATGGGGAAGCTGCTGGCTTAGTGGCTGAGAGGGAAACTGACATTTTGGATGATGAGTTGCCCAACCAGGATGGACACAGTGTGGGTAGCTTAGGCACCCTCTCCTCTTTCGATGGCACCACCAACACCAGTGACATTGGCTATCATGAGGCTCCCCGGATGGAGAGCCTCAATTCTTTACCCAACGGTTCATCCAATTTCAATGGCTTAGACAAGCTGCATGATTCGGAGATGGTTATCAACGGTGGTTATCCCTACAACAACCAGAATGCCTTGCGGAACATTATGGGACGTCACCCTCATGATCCTTATGCGCACATCAGGCCCTCAGTGTCTGCCCAAGAAAATTTGGCGGATTATCACCAGCATGGTTTCCCCACTCCTGGCTGGTTACAACCCCAGCCACCAGCTTCCAGCCGGCAATATCCCTATGGCTGCGACTCCAATAGCATATATCGCTCCCAGTCCTTCCCCACAGCTACTGTTGAAATCTCCCAGCTTCCTCAAGCACCAGCCCGCAGCACAAGTAGTCGAGACGCTGTCCAGAGGGGGCTTAACTCTTGGCAGCAACAAGGGGGAGGTAGCAGACCACCGTCACGTCAACAGGATGGTGCCCGAGACAGCCATAGTTCCAGCCTTGCTAGTGCAAGCCCCCAATCCAGCCCTTCACAAGCAGCACCCCCTCAAAGCATAAGCATCCCCGAATTCCCTAGTATTGCCTCCCAGAAGGAAATAGAACAATCCATTGAAGCTCTCAATATGCTCATGCATGACCTGGATCCTTCTGTCTCCGTGATGCCTAAATCCCAGAGTGTTCCGTTGGCTACCAGAGAAGACAGGCCACACCCAGTAGCTCTTTCAATGTCTGCCCAACCTGTGATGGGACCTCATGTGGTGCAACCAAAGGCTACCAATGCTTTTGGCTTGATTCCAGGAAGCCCTTCACAAAACTCCCTTGGCTCCAGTGTGCCCCAGATGGTTGAACCCGTACCTAAAGCTCATCCTATGAAGCTATTGCTCAACAGTGTTGGAGAACTGGAATATCCAGCACAAGATTTCAGAGAGGCCTATTCTCCCTATGGCTATCAGAACCAACAGCCAACTGTAATACAAGGAAAGAGCCTTGGGCAGATGGCAGGAAGCCCGCCCACATCTCCCAGGCCTCATGCAACAGCATGCAAGGTCATGGAAGGGCAGCATCCTCTGCTGACATCACCTCCTTCATCCACAACAGCAGTCCAACCCCAGGTGCCCTTAAATGAGGCTGAGCATCACGGGGAAGCCTCTCAGGCTTCAGTTGAAGAGCCTTTGCATCTTGAAGGTCTGGTGGCTCACAGAATAGCAGGTAAGAAAGTCTTGCTATGGGTTTTCCTTCGAATAAGCCACCTCTGTTTTAGGGGCCTAAATGGGGATTTTGTAAGTCATAGGATGTGTGCTTTTTCAGGAATTTGCTTTTTGTTAAGATGGCTTCATTCAAATTAAGAGTGACAAACTCAACTTTCCCTATAAAATGCAGAATGAAAAGACTGCAGTGCAGAAAGTGCAGAGAATGTTTCATTTTCACTTGCAATGGCCTTTCTCTAAGTATGGCTGGATTTTCAATAGCTGCTGTTGACTATTTATTCAGTTCTAAACAATGCCCTGGGCATGGAGCCTCATCCTGTATCTGCATGCCATGCCCAAGGAGATTGGGTTCTAGGAGGCTAAAGATTGAGAGGTTGGCATGGGCCAATTGGTGATGCAATAAATCAAATTCAAGCATTACTATAGCTAGAGGAAGGGTTGCCCTGGAAATTCATGAAGAAAACTGCATAGCTAAAAAAAATTTCCCCTAATTATGCATAGCAATGCATGAATCAGTATGGGGGAAGGGCGAAAAGATCTCAACTACTTCACATGGGTTATTGTCTTGGGCCAGGAATGGCTAGCATTTTTAGCAGGTGCGTCATATGCCAATGCCAAGCTTTTGATAGGAGCAGCATAATTTGTACTGTAGCTCAGATAATCTGCCTCCATTGCCGGCTAAGCTAGAGGAACATCATTACTTTATAAAGTCTTAGTAAAGCAACACCTGGAATACTGTATCCAGTTTTGGTCACCACATTACAAAAAAAATGTTGAGACATTGGAAAAAGTGCAGAGAAGAGCAACTAAGATGATTAAAGGCCTGGAGACTAAAACATATGAAGAGCGGTTGTAAAATTTGGGTTTGGCTAGTCTAGAGAAAGGAAGGACTGGGTGGACATGATAGCAGTATTCCAGTATTTGAGAGGCTGCCACAAAGAAGAGGGGGTCCATTTATTTTCCAAAGCACCAGAGGGCAGAACAAGGAACAATGGATCCTGATCAATGATTTGTCTGAAATGGTATAGAGTTTCCTGCTTGAGTTGCCTCCAAGATCCATTCCAACTCTGTCTCTAATCAATGAGAGAAGCAACCTGGAATTAAGATCAAACTTCCTAATAGTGAGGACAATTAACCAGTGGAACATCTTGCCTTCCGAAGTGGTGGGTGCTTCATCACTGGAGGTTTCTAAGAAGAGACTGGACAGCCACTTGTCTGAAATGGTATAGGGTCTCCTGTTTGAGCAGTGCGTTGGATTAGAAGTCCCTTCTGATTGATTGATTGACTGCAGCTAGAATTGTCCCATTTGAAGTCTAGAGGATCCCTTTACCATCACTTCAACCTAGGAGTAGTGTGAATCCCTGCAGCATTACTATATGTTGGTGGTCTATAATCTGTACTTAGTGTCTTCGTAACATGAGATAACAATGAGCACCACAAACCTTTCCCCAAGCTATTTTTGTAGAGAATTCTCTTCCTTCCTTTTCCCAAAAGGAGAAAAATTGATGTTGGGAGCTACTGCATTTACTTCCCTGAATTTGGGTGCTCTCCCTGGGTTCTGATAGCCATAGCTAATTCATGGGCTGACACTGTGCATCTATGCCTCTCTTGCCCTAAACTGACATCTTTATAAACAAGAAATCTTGAATTTCTAATGTATAATTGTTAGCAGTTGACATTAACACATACAATACAACATTGTTGGATAGGGGAGAAATTACCCAGCAACTGCTAGGGTGATTGTGGCAAACAAGACAGGGCATTGATTTGATTTTTATGTTCAGTGAATGAGGGAACTGGCAAAAAGCTTTTAGTCTCTTTGCTGCAAGTTGCTGATTTAGGAAGGAAATGTCCACCACACCCACAGAAGCGCAATATTCCGTTGCCTCGGGTGCTTCTTTCATGTCTTTTTCCGAAGCTCAGAAGGCTGGAAGTCTTGGGCAGGGCACTGTATCCTCTGAACTGAGAAAGGGGTATTCAGTGAGAACAAGTAATGTGCATGAGTTTAAATGCATGAAATTCCCATGGTTGTTTCCCTTTTGGCTTTGCTGAAGACCTTTGTCTTTGCAATTCTAGATATCTGAAAAAGCAGTGGAATCCCACTTTTTTCTAGAGTGCCTGTGGCATAGAAAAGACAAGGTACTTTGGCTTATACAACTAGTAAAAAGCACCTTTGATTCTGTTATAATCAGTGGAAGGGAATCATAATAAACACAAAATCTTTAGACTATAAGATCCCCACTCCTGCCCCATCACTAATGGCAAGCTCAACGGCTCATTCTTCCACTCCAGTGATAATTTTAACAGACTAACAAAGCAACAGAATTGGAATGGATCTTGGAGAAAACTCAAGCAGGAAATTCTATACCATTTCAGACAAATCATTGTCTAATCTCTTCTTAAAAACCTCCATATTAGTTCTTCATATGCTTTTTAAATAATCTCTCTTCAAGCATATATATGACCACCTTAAAAAAACATGTTTATCCAAATCCTGATGATGAAAAGCTTGCCATCTTAAGACAGACTTGAGCTTTTATTTACGCAACAGATCCTAGATTTCATGCCATGCAGTACATGACAAGAACTAAGTATGTTATGCCTTGGACACCATGAAGGTTTTTAAAAATGTATTCAGGCAAGTCTTCCTTTTAATCGAGATGGATTGGTTCTTTTTAAACAATAGTTCCTTCAGTAAGTGCCTTCATCATTTTGAACAAGGTTGCATATTAAACAGGCTTTGCCCAAGCAGAAGTTATAGAGGATACACTTTCCAAAACTGTCTTTGGGATTAAAGCTCTGGAATTCTCCTTTAACCACAATACATAGTGGCAAGGAAATATTGTGGTCATTGCACTCGGTATGCAGTGTCAGCCTCAGCAGTCTCAGAGATGGTAATTAGATGAAAAAGTATTTAATTGTAGAACCACTCAGAAATGTCTTGGATCTAATCCAGCCCTCAGTACCAGTCAAAGCTGCTGTTCAGCTTCTGGGCCATGGGCATTACAATATTTAGCAGAGAGAAAATGTTTTAGACAATAAAGAAAACAGTAAGATGAAAAGAAAAAAAAAAACAGGTTCAAGGCTGATCCACTGTACTATCTTGGAATGTGTAGAGATGCACATAATTTAAGTAGTGAACCTGTGATAGAAATACGTTCCCTGTGTTTACATTGGGTGTTCAGTGTTCTTACAAGGGCTGAACTCAGATTAAAAGGAATTGCTTTTGTTCACACAAAACATAGCAGTAAATAGTCCTTCTTTGCCTGCAGTTGGCAGTAATACCCATAATCACTGATTCTTCATTGTCTTCAGAACAGTGCTTTAGTGTTTTGCAAAAGAAAGTACTTTTTAGAACATGTTCAAAATCTACATTTTAATAAAGTTACAAGAGAAATTAGTTCAGTTCTGAATGGTGTGAACTTGTCCAATATATGTGAACAGATGCACGAACATGCCAGATACAGGATTCTGGACCTGGATATTTATTTTGACAATTCAGAAAAGGAAATATGAAAACACATGTATTAAGTAAAAGAGCACCTTAAAGCATACCCATTAGGAAAAATATGCACAGGGTCACTTATTTTGTCAGACTGCTGGGGAGGCGGAAAGTACATGGTATGTGGACAAGCATGTATATTTTAAAAAATGCACACAAAGTGCATATGACATTTCCTGTTGACTTTTTTTTATTTTTAATTGCAAATTGCATTTGTGCAAGAGCACAAATATATGATTGGAAAAAGGAAAAATCAGAAAAGAAAAGAAAGCTTGGAAGCAAACAACCGGCAGATGCCAGAGAATGATGAGAAGGAAATGTCCAGAACAAGCTGAAAGAGCAAGGGCCAACATGTTATTTACAGTGACTTGCTATAAATTGCCTGTTTGTTCCAAGGCAAATATGTGTGGAATTTCACAGATCATCCTCCTGCCTGGTTCTCGCTGTCATGAGAACTCCAGTTTCCTATTCAGGGGCAGGGGGAACACCCCCTGCAGTGATTACAGCAAAATGTCTCTCGGAGGATTTGCTCCCAGGAAAAGCTGAGCATCACTGAAAATCCTGCACATCCCAAGAGAACTCAGGATCTAAATGAAAGCCCAGGGACAATTAGCAGGGTCTGCTTGAGTCCTGCTTCATAATCCGTTTTACTACTGTTGGGTTGAGTTTGCTAGATTTAACAACTCTGTCATCTCCTCTGGATCTTTTAGTCCAATGACGTGGAGAGCTGAATGACCCTTAGAGAGCTGTATGTAATGAAATTTCATTTTAATGTATACTGATTAGTGTACATTCAGAGTGACAATAAAGCTACTCTACTCTACTCTACTCTACTCTACTCTACTCTACTCTACTCTAATTCCAATTCCAATTCCAATTCCA